ATCAGTTTACAAATATATATATTACGTTAGATGTTAGTTACTTGACCATGTATATCTATTAAAAGTAGTGTAATGGTACGCATAAATTTGGAATTGTTAGGTGTTAAAAAAATATATATCATGTTAGGTGTTAGTTATTTAACAATATATATATATATATATATATATATATATATATATATATATATATATATATATATATATATATATATATATATATATATATATAAGGGAGATTAGATATAGCACAGAAAAAAATAATTACGTGAGTTGGAATGTATTTGTCCTGATAATCACGAAATATTAGCTGACTTGTGAGGGTATTTAAGTCTTTTTGGCCATGATGATGTAAGAAATGGGACCTAAATTCTGACAGGGGAGGTTTGTGATATTTTTGAAACCACAAGGGAGGAGAGTGAGACTGTCAGAAACCTCAGGGGAGGTATCTGAAATTATCCCAAAATGCTATTTATACACATAGTCAATGAGGGATGAAAAAAATTCATTTTTGTGAAATGTGAGGGATAAAAAATTTATTTTGTAAAATGTAAGGACAACACAATTCATTTTATGAAATGTGAGAGACTATGAATTGGATTATGTAAAATTTGATTTGACAATTTTGCCTCTAAAAAACGATCACATGCAAAACACATGGTGAATTCCGGAAAAACTGGTCGGAAACCTAGGTTAGGGACCAAATTTGATCAATGTGAATTTATAAGGGATGTAAAATTACACTTTTAAAAGTGAAGGACGACAAAAGTGATTTCGTAAAATGTGAGGGACGTTTTGAACGATTTTTTCTTTTGAAAATACACAACCAGGAATTCTAATAATAAAAAGCTTTCGTGTTATATTTGAAGCAAAACGTTTAGGGATTTAAATAACTATTTTATCATCTTAAATAACAACAGGAATAAAAATACTTGTTCAAGGGGAAAAAAATAGAAAATAAAAGATGATACAAAGTAGTAATTTAACCATCTTTATATTTAATTATTAATTTAGTATTATCCATTCAATACAATCCAAATGTATTTATTTTTCTTGACCCACAAAAATTTCACACAAACACCAGTGCATATGACGGGAAAAATATAAGGAAAAGATATTTAATGCTCGTTTTAATTTTTCATTATTAGAATTCTTAGTTTAACATGTGACTCAATTCAATTTCTTCACATCTTCATCTTTAAAACTTTCAATATCATTATTTGAAATTTAATGGACTATATTGATCGAAACACTGAACATTAAAGAAATAAAATACAAAGTCAAAATTTTTTTACTAACGTTGATTTAATTTTGATGTTAGTCATTCTGAAAAAAATTATTTTATTAATTTCCAAAATTTGTCCAAAACTCGAAACATTGGGAACCACATTTGTGAAGGCCAAAATTTTGGAGACTACTTAGGCGCACAGGTCATCGGAGAGGGAACAACTTTGCAATCGTCTCTTTGATCTAAATAACCATCCAATAATAACACAGAAATCTCGATAACTCGCTCTTTTTAAACATAAAATCCTGTAAGAATCCACCTACTGACTCTAGTTTTACCAAAGATGAAATTAAAGCCTAGAATTCTAATACCAATCTTATTCTCTCGAAGAGTTGGCACAATAATTGAAGACGACTTTTACTAATTCAAAGTCTCTCTCTTGCTCTCTTCTCCTTTCCTAGAAGAAATCCTCCAAGGGCGGAACAGAAAAATCCATTTTTCTCCATCCGATCATCAGAACTGTCTCTCCGCTCGCAGTCAAGGTGCATTCGATCTTTGAACCTCAAAGCTGGTGTTTTCTTTTGCATTTTGGTTATTACAACTGCTTCATGCAAATCTCTTTGTCATCAAATAGAGCCATGAAATTCTGCTCCCTGTTGCTTCTACTTGAAAGTGGTCTATATAATCACTTTGTCCCCTTGATTGATTACTGCTGCTTTGATCATAACTTCTTGTATGGTATGCATAATCCTCAAGCATTTTAGTATTTGTTCAAGACATAGAAGATGAGTTGTAGTACTCGAATTCTTTTGTTCGTCATGTTGACCAAATTTGCTAATATTCTTTTTTTTCCCTGTTCTGAGAAACCTTAATCATTGCTAGCCCTCAAAGTCAATAACTTGTTCCATAGGAATGTTTGTTTCTTTCTTGAATGACTTTTGTCATATTACTAGTTGTCGTCAAGTTGTCCGTACACAGTAGTGTTATTACATCGCGAGTGAAGAAACAGAAAGTTCGGATACTTACGGATACGGGGTGCAACCGTTTGTGCCGGTTGTATTCATTTTTCAGAGCGCGTAACTTTCATTGCACACGATGTAACTTACTTTGAACACAAAGTAATTTTACAACACTTTTTTGTGAGCCCCACACATGGCGTGAAAATCGAGTTACATGGTGTAATCTGAGCCACACAAATTTTGAAGCCACATCGTGACCGTGAACCTTCAGGAACGGTTGTCACTGACAATCGTTCCTGTCCCGTATCCGATACTTCCACTAACCTGTAAAAACTGTCATATCTTCCTTTTTGGTTTCTTCTAAAATTATGTCACACATAAAATCAAGAAAAGCTAAATTTCTACATACTAAAGTTACAAGTTTTATGAGATCATCAATTCACTAATGGTATGATCATCAGTTCACTGAACGTATGAACTGAAGGTGGAGGGTGTAGAATCTCTAGATCATCAAATCCATCAAACTATTTTCTTAAGGTGGACAGGCGCAGATTTAAGTCCCTTTCAATTTAATTTGGCATAGTTGGCACCCAAAAATTCTCTTTAGTGCCATTGCTGGTCCCACCTTCTATTCAGTACTTGTTCAGCTACGCGATTGGAGCAGAATTTTCATACAAATGGTGCGTTTGCTGTAATTCTTTCAGAAATTGATAACATGTTCACAGTTGTGATTGTATTCGTATATTAAGTTAGTGTATATGAACAAAATCTATGTGTACAACAAAGTAATATTAGCCTACATTAAATAATATAACATTCATACAACTACATCAAAACTATAGCTGTCAAACAAACTCATTTAATTAAATTTGCCCGTACCCGTCCATGAATAGATGGGTATGGGTATCTTAAATTTTTACATATGGGTATACCCATCAAATCCAATTAACCCATTTAGAATTGTTTTCCTCCAAACCTCTTCTCTTCCCCCCACCCATTTTTTTTTTCAAATTTTTCATTTTGCCATGATATTAACTACTTTTGTTTCATTTTATTATTATTTGTGGTTTATCGTATCATTTTATTTTCTCTTAGTTTGTTAGCTTGCTCATTTCTCAACATTACCAATTTATGACAAGTTTTATCCTCTTTTCTTACTTTTCCAAATGAAATTTTAAATTTACACACAAAAAAATGCTAGAGATTCAAAATTTTTGGATTAAGTTTTTATATTACCTTTTATAGTACTTAGTTCAAATTTTTATATTCTTATTGTTTAATTATTAAATAGTATGTAAATTTGCGACATAGAGTACGGATGAAAAAAAAAATTAATAATTAGGCTTATTGAGCATTATAAGTAAATATTATAAAACTAATGATGGGTGCAAAGGATGATATAAATTGATAACTTAGTTTGTAAAAATGAATTTACAAAAGTTAAAATAAATAGGTTATAATGGTAATTGAGTTGCCCAATTTATTTTTTGATTTACCCATTTATACCTATCTAATTAAATTGTATAAATGGGTTCACTCACTTATACCTATTATCCATTTTACCCAACCTAAACCCGCCCAAATCGCCCATCCGCCCAAATCGCCCATTTTGGCACCTCTAATCAAAACCGCAACTGTGTACCTATCCCAAACCCTTTGTTTCCACTGCTAGAAAGACCGATTGGCATGTAGAGGAAGTTAAAGATAGTGGAACTGTAGGCACATGCTCAATATTGTGGGTTTTGGACATGTATATTTTTCTTTCCACTGTAGGCTAGAAATGAAAAAAAAAAAAAAAGAGTTAAATAAACTGGATTTATACAGTCACCCAATGAAATTAGAATTCTCATTCTTATTAGCATCTTCGAAACAAACTTTCTTTTTTTTTTTTTTTTCCGAGTTGTATGTGATATTGTTAGTCATCAGGAATTGTTGAACCAGAGCTGTAAGTGACGTCTTTCTTCTGATGGAGTTATCTTGGTGTACTAAATTTCCAACTTAAGAGAAATTAGCTTCGAAAATTTTGAAACTATTTAAATGGGATTATTTTGGTTCCATAAAAGATTTGACAGGTTTAATAAGCACATTAGAAATTTCTGACATCCATTATGTGCTATTTCAACTTAAAATTTATACATGCCTAACTCAAAATTGAATTCTCTCTTTAACAATTAATTTTCAGGATGCCGTCCTGTTTACCAAACATTATTGGGGCCGTAATAGCGCCTGGTGTTCAAGCCATTAAAGATGCAAGCACGTGTTTGAAAGACAAATATGATAAAGTGAAGAAGATTAAGCAGAACTTGGATAAGCTCGAAGACGAAGAGAAATCGCTTGGTGCTACCAAATCAACATTGGAGGAAGCAATTGCGAGGAACAGTATTGACATGGAACCAACCGAAATAGCCAATACTTGGCTTGAGCAGGTAAAGGAGAGGGAAAGAGAAGTCCAAGAACTGAAAAACAAATATCTTCATATCCATAAGTGCCTTTGCGGGATGTGGCCATTCTATAAGCTTATGAAGCTCAGCGAAGATCTAAAGGAGAAAACGGATGAGCTGAAAGAGTTAAGAGACAACATTGACTTGCAGAATGCATTGAGGGAGCCAATTCGAGCCAGGGGAAATAATGCTTGGTGGAGATGGAGATCATATCCCTATATCAATGTCTGAGACGGTAGAAGAGCTGCTGAAGTGGCTGGATGATGAAGAGGTGAGGAGGATTGGCATATGGGGAATGGCAGGAGTAGGAAAAACCCGTATCTTAATGCACCTGAATGACAAAGCATACCAACTGGGTAAACTCAATCCCATTATATGGGTGAAAGTTCAGAAAGAAGGTGCTGTCAATTCGAGCCAGGGGAAATAATGCTTGGTGGAGATGGAGATCATATCCCTATATCAATGTCTGAGACGGTAGAAGAGCTGCTGAAGTGGCTGGATGATGAAGAGGTGAGGAGGATTGGCATATGGGGAATGGCAGGAGTAGGAAAAACCCGTATCTTAATGCACCTGAATGACAAAGCATACCAACTGGGTAAACTCAATCCCATTATATGGGTGAAAGTTCAGAAAGAAGGTGCTGTCAAGAACATTCAATCAGATATTTTGGCAAGGTTAAAGCTAGAGGTTCAACACATGGACAGGACAGCACATGTTGCACACAAAATATCCATGGCCCTGGAGAAACTTGACTATTTATTGCTTCTCGATCAATGTCCTGGAGATATTGATCTCAATGAAGTGGGAATTCATCACAAGCACAAGGGAAAGGTAATTGTTGCATCCCGTGACAAACCTGACTGTGCTGCAATGGATATTCATAGAGTATTCAAAGTGAGCAAGTTGTCTGATGGTGATGCAGAGGAATTGTTCAAGGAAACTGTGGGTGACATTGCAGATCATCCGCACTTTAAAGGAATAAAAGAGCAAATACTCAAACAACTAGGTGGTCTCCCACTTGCAATCAAAACTATTGCCAGAAGTTTAAAAGATCAGCCGGAGGCCATTTGGTATGATACATTGACGGACTTGCAATCTCCGAAGAACTTTGGTGATCAATTTGAGGAACTCATCAAGGCTTTTGAGTTCTCTTACAAGAATCTACGTGGGAATGATTACAGGAAGTGCTTACTTTACGGGGCATTATTTCCACCAGATTATGAAATTGACAAGGATTACTTAACCGAATGTTGGATATCTGAGCAATTTATTTCTGCCACTGAGCTACCTGGAGCAGACACTAATGTCCAACAATTAAGGCTATTTCGAGACAGAGGACACAAAATCCTGCAAGCACTTACAAAAGCTTGTCTATTTGAGTGGTGTTCCAGGTCAAATTTTCTCACCATGCCTACTCCTTTTAGGAAGATTGCACTGACATTTACCTACCCACAATAAGAAGGCAGCAGTAGCAGCAGCTTACTTGTGAGAGGAGAAGAAAAATTGTTTAATCCACCAGAAAAGGAACATTGGATAGGCGCGAAAAGGATCTCGCTAATGTGCAACGGATTCAAGTCCTTGCCAGAATGCCCTGAGTGTCCGACTACCACAACACTATTGCTCCAGAGAAATGAAGAGCTGGACACAATTGATGATTCTTTTTTTGCTTCCATGGTGCAGCTCAGAGTTCTTGATCTCCATCACACCAAAATAGAATCACTACCATCATCTATCACCAAGTTAGTTGAACTGAAATCCTTGTATCTCAATGAGTGCCGGGATTTGGTTTCACTACCCGAACATCTTGGAAAACTTACCAATCTCGAGATTCTTGACATCCGAGACACAGGCCTGCAGAGCTTGCCAACTGAAGTTGCACAGTTAGTAAGCCTGAGGTGCCTGAGAGTTTCCTTTGTTTACGATCCTCTCATAGCAAGGTCTAATGGGGATCATAACAAAGAGGATAATCAGCCACGACGGATTATTCCCATAATGTGATTGGCCTACTTTGTCATCTTGAAGAATTGACCATCATTGTCGATCCTAGAGAACAAAGCTGGAATGACATTGTCACAAGTGTTGCCAAAGAGATAACAAACTTAGAAAGTCTGACTACACTTTTCATCTACTTCCCAAAAGTAGAATTCCTCACTACTTTCATAGACGAAAGTTGCTCCAGGAGATATTGGCAAGATAACGGTTTAAGAGCATTCAGAATCATAGTTGGCTCAAATGGGGAAAACCATAACAAGGGGTTACATAGTTCTAGAGGACCAGCTGAACGGCACCTGAGATTTTCTGCAGGTGAAAATGTCTGTTGTGAAGCAATTCAAAAGGTTCTCAGAAGGTCCAGTGCTTTTGAATTGATTGGCAACCAAGACACTAAAAGTTTATCAGACATTGGAATTGACTGTATGAGGTCGTTGGCAGTTTGTGTAGTAGAAGGCTGTGATCAGATCAGCTCCATCATCAGCTGTGGCTCTGATGCTGCTAGGATTGTATTTCCATTCCTTGAGAAGCTACATCTGGTTAACCTCAAGAGTTTGTGCTGCATATTGGATGGTTCTGTCGGTACCCAAAGCTTCTCCAAATTGACAAGCATAATAGTTCTTGAATGTCACAAGTTCAAGAAGCTTATTTCACTTGAATGGTTAAAAATTTGGAGAATCTCAAGCATCTGAAGATTCAAGATTGTTTGGGGATTGAAGAGGTGATAGAAACCGGGGAGATACAGCCGCCCAATGGAGGATTGCCCAACCTTACTGGCTTCCTGCCAAAATTGGAGATTCTGGAGCTCGTGAATCTTCCACTTCTGGTAAGCATATGTAAGAATGACTCACTAGATTGGCGTTCCTTACAGAAAATAGAGATCATTGATTGCTCCAAGCTAAATACTTGGTCAAGAGGGATGTACAATGCAAAGCATTTAAGAAAGATTGAATGCCAAGAACGCTGGTGGGGTCGGTTACCTGATGAAGTTAAAGGGCAGCTAAAGAAGAGGTGTTATTTCATCTGGGAAGAAGCACCTTCTGTTTATTACACACCAAGGGAGGATGGAAGTCATCAGCCTCCTGACTTGCGAAACCTGTCTGACAGATTGGAGCAACACCGGATGCGCCATGAAGATTCAATCTCCCAAGGAAGCTCATCAAGGAGGTATAGTCCTTGATTTTCCATTCGGATGTCCTCAGTGGAAATATGAAATGATTTCCTCTTTTTCTCTCATATTTCGTATGTTAATCTCAGTAATCGTGTCCTAAAACTGATAGATGCATAAGTTCTTCAGCTAGAATATATGATCTCCAAGTGATCTGTCAATTTTACATCTCGCAAGCTCAAAGGATGTGATAAACAACCTTAGACACCAATCTTGAGTTTCTTACTTCATGTTATATTTAGTTTTTGGTATGATTCATAAGCATTTTGTAAGAATGAAGTAGAGATTTTGCCATCTCCTTCGCTTCTACATATGATCATGACTTCCATGATAAAATGAAGTTTGTCATAATTAACAACGTGTAGAACTTCACTGTAAATTTTATTCAGCGTACTACGAATCAAATATTTTCTGCACATACCGTTGTGCATCTAATTGAAGGTTAAGTGTAAGAGATTTCAAGTAATTGTTTTGAGAGAATTGGTAGACAAATATTTTGAATGGTTAATTGCGATTTAATCATGCACATGCAAATGCCAAACATGCAAACAAGTTCTAATTATTGAAAACTATGAGAAGCGGTCCTATTATGGATATTCTCATACAATTGCTTTTGCCATATTGGTAAGCCCCAATTCCCCATCTTCATTGCAGAAGTAGTAAATAGTAAACAACACCATCAAATGCGATTCGAATTTTCTAATAGTAATCTGACTCTACCAATTCCAATCACCATCAGCCCCAACAAACGCATAAACATACTCATCCTCTGTATAAAAATATTAAAGTCTTGGGATAAGCATCACTATACTCAGTGAGTAAAACATAACACTCTTGTTAGATCAAGTGTGTTACATACATGCATACATACATATATAATATATAGGGAAAATCGTTCAAAACGTCCCTCACATTTTGTAAAATGATTTTTTCGTCCTTCACTTTTAAAAGTATAATTTTATATCCCTTACAAATTCACATTGATCAAATTTGGTCCCCACCTAGGTTTTCAACTAATTTTTGTCGGAATCCATCATGTGTCTTGCATGTGATCATTTTTTAAGGGCAAAATTGTCAAATCAATTTTACACAATTCAATCCATAGTCCTTCATATTTTACAAAATGAATTTTTTCGTCCCTCAAATTTCACAAAATAAACTCTTTTATTCCTCATATTTTACAAAATGAATTTTTTCATCCCTCATTGATCATGTGTATAAATAATTTTTTAAAATTCACGTATGTATTTATTTGATTTTACCTAAGTAATACAAATAACATGTGTATAACTACAATTAGCCTATTTAGACGAAATCAAATAATTTGGACATTGTCGAGTGTTTATATGAAATTAAATTTGGACAAAAAATAATCAAACGAAAAGTATGACAAAAAAAGTATGTAATTGGCACTTTCAAATTTTAAGACAATTATAAGGCAAGTAATTCAACTGTTAGTCTTAAATGTAACGAGTAAAAATTTTAGATTTAAACTGCAATTCGTTAGCATGACTATAGAATTCGAGTTAGGACCCATTAATTAGATGATTTTATTATACAACTCAATAAATGAATTGCTACCAAAAGAGAAAAGACCACAAATATTGAACAAATTCACATCGTGAAATCAAATAGATATATGCATGGGTTTAAAATAAAATTGTTAGTTTTAAACCCATGTATATATCTATTGAATAGCAAGTGTACAATTACAATTAACCTGTTTAGGTGAAATCAAATAAAGATATATTATATGCTATTCGTACTATTCAGGTGAAATCAAATAGATATATACATGGATTAAAAAAACTATTCATGCACACTGTCAATAAGGGATGAAAAATTCATTTTATGAAATGTGAGGGATGAAAAATTCATTTTGTGAAATGTGAGGGACAAAAAAAATTCATTTTGTGAAATGTGAGGAACTATGGATCAGATTATGTAAATTTTGATTTGACAATTTTACCTCTAAAACATAATCACGTGTAAGGCACATGATGGATTTCGACTAAAAACTAGTCAGAAATCTAGGTAGGGACCAAAGTTGATCAAAGTGAATTTATAAGGGACGTAAAATTATATTTTTAAAAGTAAGGGACGAAAAAAGTTATTTTATTAAATGTGATGGATGTTTTGAACGATTTTTCCATATATATATATATATATATTCATACATTTGCAAATAAGTGTATACAGAAGCACACAAATTACACTAAGATAAACCATTCTTTGCACATTTGTATAACATATAAATATTCATTAAACATTTATCGACTCTTAACAGTTACACACCTTTAACGACGCTGAGTACTCAGTCTAGTGATTAACTTCACTAGAACGGGAAGTCAAATGAACATTCGGAGTACACTTTGACCATTATTGCAATTTACTTTATTTTATATTGATATTTCTAAGACAATAACCCCTATAGATTATGCCGTGACCTTTAGAGCCATTACATCAGCATCCACATTCACTCAAACAATTCATGCTACATTGAATAAACATTTACATTTAACATGCCATATACATATAACTTTCATAGTAAGAAACATTTAGGTGCGACAAATATAATCATACAAGTTCCATTTTCATATGGAAAGTAACACTTCATTAAACATTATAAAAGCGTATTTATGAAAATACAGAGTGAATCCCACTCACCTCAATTAACTTGATAGGAAGTCCTACTAGGGTTCTTGATCCTTGCCTTCTAACCCTAGAGAAATGACATATAAATCTATTACTTTACTGCATTGATCATTCAACATTTATTTTTTAAATCATCCCTAGAGCTGTGTAACCATAGGATACTTAACATTCCTAAACATGTAAAATTTCTATATTTAACATTTCCCTTTCACGTAAGCTTCCCATTTAGAAAGTTTCCCTTCTTAGAAGGTTACTATTTTGGTAAGTCTTCCTAACTTTGGATAGAACCCTAATTTACAAAGGTCCATATTCTTGGAAAGTCAATCATTAAGGAAAGTTTAGTGAAATTAGCTGAGTCTTTATTTTAGAAAGGTCATGCATTTAAAGAAGTCTTTTAATTAGCTTAACCAACTAGGATGCCACCGTTATTAAGTTACCGTTTGCAGGCCATAACGATCATAAAATGACCTTGATATAAATGCAATTATTGTTGTGAATTAGTAGTAACTTTGGTACATTAAAGGTTTAAAATTAGCCTTAAAACTAAATGAGACATTTCTGAATAATACATGATAATTATAAAAAGATTAATCTTTATATACTGACAGTGTATATACTTTCGCCATTAGATGCATGACACATAATCTGAATTCAAATTTGAAACTCTAATTTTGCATATATATCGTATATCCAACCGTGATCGTGTATATATACATCGTCAGTATATATAAAATTTACTCATTATAAAACTAGGCTGCTAATTAACAATAATTACTTTTAATGATCAAAATGATCATATTACTTTTCTCAAAAGTACATGTAACCGGTGACATCATTAATGAAAGTCATAGCAAGGTGTTTTTTATTCTTGAATTCTTCCTAAGCATACTAATATGCAAGAAACCGAGAGATAGTCCCTAGTTATATTCTTATAACTTGATCATGTAACTAGTCAGATCTATTATTAGTCTAACTCGATGCTTTAGAATTCGTTGAATAAGAAAGAAAGAAAAACTCATATGGATCACATTATAAATCAAGACTATTGGTCTATATTAATCAAAGTGGTATTATAAAGCATTTGCGAGGTACTGAAACTGATGGTCAGTGTTCAAGCCACGAAAACAAATATTAGCATTCTTAGTCTTTAATATTCTATTAATCAATCATGATAAAACGATAGTTTGGCCTGTTTAAATTGTGGCGGATGTGAAATAGAAAGCATGATAGTTCTATGAACTTGTATTTGAACAACGGCCATCCATGATTGGAATTATGAGATTTGATAAACTAACAGTTAATAACTCACAAGTTCTTCTAGCATAATTACGATCTATCAAAGCATGCTTAAAGAAAGGTATACTAATTTAAGGTTCTTATTAATTTGTATTAAAGGATTTAAATAAAAAAGATTGCAGTAACAGATTTGGCTCCATTCTTAATGCATGTACAGAGCCACATAGGACAATGGAATCATGTTCGCAACTTTATATTATTCATGCATTCTTGAGCCTCCAAGTAAACACTACATTCAATGCCAGTACGTTCTTAAAGTAATCAGTAGTTTGCTAAAAGTGAAAACTCAGGCAAGTCAAACTTTGATTTACTACATGACATAAGAAAGATCATCCCATGAATTAATATATCTATGATTTTCAGGTCGGCTGCGCTACTAATACCACTAGATTTGATCAAGAAAGATGCTTAACTGACTAATAACGCATAAAGCCGACAAGTTCGAGTTCTTGCTTGACAAATTACCGCGATGGTCGGCCTTCCTTCTCCCTCTCCTTGTCAAGCCCCTATCGCAAATGTTTTCTTGCTCTCACCCTCAATCTCACCTTGTAACGTAAGAGAAGAAAATAAGATTTAGGCTTTGTGTTTTGAGTATAAATCCCATGCTAGAATTTATAAACTTTATTTTGGAGAAAACAATGTTATAAAAAAAGTAATATGTTAATTAGTTGATTGAAATAAGAAAAAGGAAATAATTTGATTGATCACAAATTACTCGCCTTACTAAATATGTTATGTCTTGTTAAGAAAACTAAGAAGAATAGAATGTGATCTTAATAGCGATTATATTCATTGAATCTTGTGGCAAAAGAATTTGACTAATAATATTATTTAGTAATATGGTAAGTGAAAAAAAAAAATAGGAATATTACACACATTCTATCACGTGTCAAAATACTTGGCAAATTACACTTTACTCCCCTATGATTTAGCATTTTTGTACATAATTCCCCTATAGTTTCGAAAGCGATACATCATGATTTAGATCAAAGCATCAAAGTGACGGAAATAATCATTCGTAACGGAACCTATTAAAATGTTGAAATTACGCTTATTTAAAA